CAACCACTGTTAATTAGCCAGTCTTGTTTTGAAAATCTGTAACACATGTATTGTTGTATGTTACCCTGTTTCTGCTATTTTTTTTTTTGCTTTTGTTTTTACTCTTTAAAATAAAATTTAAAAAAATGGTACAGCAACTTCAGGACTTCAATGAAAGTATACACTATATGTCATAAGCATGACCTAAGAGTAACACTAACAGTAATAATGAAGTGAGGAAAGGGGATTCAAGCTGAGGAAGGGAAGGAGGAAGTGGGATGGGAGGGGGAGGAGATTAAAATAAGAAACAAGCTGTGTTTCATACCCAGGCCCCAAGAAGAATGTAAACTTCATAGACAGCATACGTGCACTAATATAATAAAATAATAAAAGCTCAACCCCAAATTGTTCTACCTAAGAAGAACATAGAGAATCTCAGTCTCTAAAGGAACAGACAATCAGATGACACAGATGTTGAATTTATCCAACAACATTTTTCAGGCAGTTGTTATGAAAATGCCCCAAAATAAAAAATGGACACTCTTGAAATGGATTTGAAAAGATAGAAAGTCTTGGGGCAAGGGAGATAGCTCAGTAGAATAAGCACTCGCCTGGTAAGCGCAAGGGCCTGAGTTCAATCCCTGGTTCTGCCAAAAAAAAAGAATGTCTTAACAAAAAATTCAAAATAAAGTGAAGAATCAAACGACAATTTAAATTTTGTAAAATATAGTAACAAAAAACTACCTGGTGATACAGAGTGGAGATAACAATGAAAAAAAGTCAACAAACTTTAAGACAAATGAATACAAACCATGTAAACAACAGAGGAAGCTGGGTGTGGTGGCACGTGCCTGCAATCCCAGCACTAGGGCGGCTAAGGCTGGAGAATCACTGTAAGTTCAAGACCAGTGTAGGCAATAAAATGAGCTCAACGGGGCCGGGAAGATGGCTCAGCAGCATAAGCGCTTGACTGGCAAACGCAAGGATCTGAGTTCAATCCCCGGTTCCGAAAAAAAAAAAAAAAAAATTGTAAAATGAGCTCAAGGTCAGACTGAACTGCATAACAAGATTCTGTTTCAAAAACACAAACAAACCAACAACAACAAAAAAAAAGAGGATAAAATGACTGAGGGGAAAAATGACTTGAGGTGGTAGGGCAATACCAAGAGATCTAAGGTTCATATCACATAGAAGACAGAGATAGTGTGGTGTAATAAGATGCTTGGATTTGCTGATTTATGAATCTCAGCTAGCCTTCAACAGGAACTGAAGAGATTCATGCCCAAGCACGTCGTAATCATGCTGCTAAAGCTAAAGGCAAAGAAAAGGGTCTCAAAAGGCAGAGAACGCTGATGCATTACTTACAGAGGAACAATGATTTGGATGACTGCCAGATTCTCATAAGAAACAGGAGGCCAGAAGTAAGCAGAATACATTTAAGTGCTAAATAAACTGCCAACCAAGGATTCTCTAGCCAATAAAAATATCCTTCAGGAATGAAAGTGAAATGAAGTCATTTTCAGGTGAAAGAAAATAGAATTTGTTGCCTCCAGAACTGCTCTGAAAGAAATGCCAAAGGAAGTTCTTCAGACAGAAGAAAAATGATATGGAAGGCAACCTGGAATATGAGACAATAGGAAGAGCAAAAAAATATATAAACATCTGTATAAATACAGTAGAGTATTGTTCTCTTGAGATGTTTAAAATATATTTAATGGCTAAAAAGAAAAATATGACACTATGTCATGGACTCTCTCTCTCTCTCTCTCTCTCTCTCTCTCTCTCTCTTTCTCTCTCTCTGTCTCTCGTGTGGGAAGGTAGAGGGATGGAAGAAATACACTGGAA